CCCTCTGTCATCAATGTATAGAATCATAGAAAGTTAGGTTTGGAATGGACCTTAAGAGGTCATCTAGTCCAACCCCCTGTTCAAAGCAGGACCATCCTCAACTAGATCATCCCAGCCAAAGCTTTGTCTAGCTGGGTTTTGAAAAGCTCCAAGGTTGGAGCTTCCACCACCTCTCTGGATAACCTGTTCCAGTGTTTTACCTACTCTCCTAGTGAGAAAATTCTTCCTAATATCTAACCTAAACATCCCTTGCTGCAACTTAAGACTGCTCCTTGTTCTGCCATCTGCCACCACTGAGAACAGTCTAGCTCCATCCTCTTTTGACCCCCCTTCAGGCAGTTCATAGATTTCATAGACACTAGGGCTGGAAGGGACCCCAAAGATCATTGAGTCCAGCCCCCTGCCCCAGGGGCAGGAAATCAGCTTGTGTCACAGGATCCTAGCAAGATAAATGTCCAATTGACTCTTAAAGGAGTCCAGAGTAGGTGCTTGCACCACCTCTGGTGGCAGTCTGTTCTAGGCCTTGGGAACTCGGACAGTAAAGAAGTTCTTCCTTATGTCCAGCCTGAAACGGTCTTGGAGGAGTTTGTGACTGTTTGACCTTGTCATTCCATGGGGCACTCTGGTGAACAGGCATTCCCCGAAATCCTGATGTACACCCCTTATATACTTGTAGGCAGCCACCAGGTCCCCCTGAGCCTGTGCTTTTTTTCTTTGAGCTGAAGGCTACTATTAAGTCCCCTCTCAATCTCCTCTTCTGTAGACTAAATAACCCCAGTTCCCTCAGTCTTTCCTCATAAGTTATGTGCCCTAACCCCTCACCATTTTTGTTGTCCTCTGTTGGACTCTCTCCAACTTGTCCACATCCTTTCTGTACCAATTAGGGATGTGTGAAACAGGCTGTATTTGATTTGGTTTCAGATTTGGCCCGAATCTGGGACAGTGATTCGATTTGTTGATTTAGATCACTGTGCCGATTTTTCGATTTGGCTGAATCCGAATCTGAAAATTCGATGCCGATTCAGAGAATCGGTGATTTGGCCATAGACACAGCTTTAAATGTTTTTTTCTACATACCTCGGGGTACCAGGTGCAGCTCTTGAATGCTGCAATGCTGCGACAGATGGAGTGTCCCACAGGAGCATGGGGCTCCCCCCACATGCTCAGCAGCGAACTCAGAAGTGGACCAGAAGTACTTCCAGTTCACTTCTGAGTCCGCCACTGAGCATGCAGGGGACCCCCCCTACGCCCTCCCGGTTTGGCAGTTGGCTGCAGGAAGACCCCAGGTGCCCCCCCCAGACCCAGGAGGCATGAATCTCTGAGCCAGGAGGCAAAGGGGGAGATCCCCTGCGTGTTCCCTGGCAGACCCGGAAGTGGACCGGAAGTGCTTCTGGTCCACTTCTGGGTCCACTGCCAAGCGCACTGGGGAACCCCCACACTCCCATGGGGCGCTGCATCTGTCCCAGCACCTCAGCATTGATGAGCTGCCTGGTACCTTGAGGTATGTAGAAAAAAACATTTAAAGCTGTGTCTATGTCTGAATCATTGAATCTTTCCGAATCTCTCTGAATAAATTAAATTTGGAGAGATTAAAGGGTCTCCTGATTCAATTCAGAGATTCGGCCACTGAATCGGGCCAAATCTCCGCTGAATCAAATCGGTGACCGAAGCTTCTCACAACTCTACTATCAATGCAGCCCAGTATGACATTAGCCTTGGTAACAAAGGCACTCTCCTGGCTCATATTCAGCATATTGTCCACTGTAACCTCCAGCTCCTTTTTTGCAGAGCTGTTGCCCAGCCAGTACTGGTGCATGGGCTTGTTCCATTCTAAGTGCAGGACGTTGCATGTGTCCTTGTTGAACTTCATCTCCAAAATTTATTAATACAAGAGGGATTTAGCAGCTCAGGTCAAATTCTGTACCTTGGGCATGCTTGTAGGTGATTCCAGGCTTTCAAAAAATGGGTCAGGGAGCAGCAACTGGCACTGTAGATTGGCTGCAGCCCCCTGCTCTCAGCTTCCCTACCTCACTGGGACAGGAAGACCATACCACAGGAATTTTTTTACACCCCTGAATTATGTAAGAATTTTTCCCCTCCTTGCTCTTAGCACCCTACCCCTTTCCCCCTCTTTACTGATGCCTCTGGACTCAGGAAGGGGAGTCCCATTCCAGTTGAGGCTATGGGGAACAGCTGCTTTGGGGACCTGGGCTTGGCCAGAGACCAATGGTGATGGTGAGCAGGTTCCACTTTTCTGTGCAGAGAACACCCAGGAAACAAGGTAGGGATGGGAGTCCCACTTCCTATGCAGCCTGGCTGGAGTAGGGCAAGAGTGATTCTGAAGTCATCCCCACCCCTCCACCCCCAATACCAGGCAGAGGTGGCAGCAGCATGTGGAGGATGGGAGAGACTGGGGGAAGACTCTTACCTGCTTCAGGGACTTTAAGTGCCTAGTTGCTGCTCTTGCACTGAAAGCAGGGGTTCAACTATGCCACTGTACCTCCTCTGGATCCACCCCTTAGCGTACTTATATTTCAGGTATTATGCTGTAGCAATCTTCCCATCTTCTTCATCTCTTGTTTAAAAAACATTATCAAAATGTTTGGCCTAAAATCTTATCAGACTTAAACTGCTACATGCTCAGCTTTTGTAAACCCACATAGCTTTATTAAAGTAATTGGAATTGTGTTGATTTACCCAAGCTGACATTCAGGCCCAGCATATTCTTTCTATTGAGTGGTGCTAGGGAGGGTTATAGAGAGAGGACTCATAGCAAGAACTGCAAGATAAATTCTAGCTCTCAGATCTGCTGCTAAGTAAATCCTGTGCCTCTTGCACCTAAGCAGTACCACTTCTTTTGAAGTTGTTGGCAAAGCAATGGCTCAACTCTCATCCTGTATGTACCTGTCCTCTTTGGGGCCTTTATTGCTGCTAGATGCTAACACAGGGGTGGGCAAAATATGGCCCATAGGCCAGATGGGCGCACAAGGCCATTTTATCTGGCCTGTGGGGCCCCTAAAAAAAATTTAGAAAATTAAAATTTATCTCTCCTTGGCTCTTGTCAAAGATGACAGGAACCAAGGGCAGTAGGACCCAGGGGAAGCCCTAGAGGGCTCGTTCAACAGCAGGGCCTGCCTGGCCCCACTCTCCCAGCTGGAAGCCCCAGAAGAGGCTTCTGGCCTGGGACCATGTGGCTGCCCTGGTGCAGGAAGCTCATGTAAGGGGGGGTGGGGAAGGGCAGGGGACAAGCTGGTGCAGATTGCAGGGAAAAGTGGTCCCTTCCCTGCCTTGTGCCTGGCCCTCCCTGCTGCAGCCACTCGCAGCCCTCACGGGGCTGTCCTGAGCTGTCAGCCTGAGCCCTGCATGGCTCCAGGCTTTCCCGTCGGGGCTGCGCCACGGCAGCAGCTGCAGCCCCCTACACTTGCCACACTGGGCAGCGTTTGCTGCTGTTGCCCAGTGCGCGAACAGGCAACTGCAGCAAACACAGCCTGGCGTGGCAAGCGAGGGGCTGCAGCTCCTGCTGCCACGACACAGCCCCGACGGGAGAGCCCAGAGCTGCGTGGGGCCCAGGCTGGCAGTGGGGGTGGGTTACAAGCTGGTGCTGAGCGTGGGGGGGGGAGAAAATGTCCCCTCCCCCACCCCATGGCCGGTGCCCCACACTGCAGCCACTTGCAGCCTGTGTGGGGCTGCCTGTGCCTGCTCTGAGAGCTTCAGGCATGGGGCGGGGGGGGGGGCAGGGAGTGTGGGCCACGGGGTAGGCGAGAGGCCTCTTTTCCCTCGTGCTCAACACCAGCCCCTTCCCTGCCAGGGAGCAGGGGTTCAGGGCTGCATGCTGCCCCCTGCCTGTACCATGGGGCTGGGGGGACACTGGGAGTGAGTGGGTGCAGGAGCAGGGCCTGCACTTGTGTCCCAGGGCCAGTGCCAGCAGGGCCCGGAGCAGGATGGCAGGAGTACAGGGTCCTGGCTGGCAGGGGCTCTTTGGAGCCGGGCCAGCTCCCCCTTCTCTCTGCTGGTGCAGCCCAGCCCAGCCCAGCTCCACAGACCCCTGCCAGCCTGTGCCCTGCTCTAGGACCCACCGGTATTGGTCCCAAGATGGTGACCAGGGGGCGGGGCTCCTGTCAAGGGTCAGGGCTACCCATGCAGTCCTCGACAGTTTGCCACGACTTGGTAAGCGGCCCTCTGCCCAAAATAATTGCCCACCCCTGTGCTAACATGTAACAGTGGATTTTTTTCAGTATCACAGTGATTGGTCTTTACATGCAAATGCAAGGGCATAGATAGGCAGCTCCTTGAGTCCTGAATCCTATCTAATACACCTGTGAAAGCCCAGGTACAACTTGGCACTTAAGAGTAAGACACCTGCCTGATTTGAAGCTCTTACAGGTTTTTTTATGCTTTAGCTAGAGCAGGGGTTTTCAACCTTTTTGAATCGGCGTACCCCTGGCAGCTGCGGGGGTGGTGTGTGGCCAAACGCGGGAGGACGTGGAGCGGCGGCAGGCGCCACATGCAAGCTTCCCCCGTGTCTGGTGTTTGGCACCTGCATAGCATGGGATGGTGTATGGCAGTGCTCAGTCCCCACCTGCCCACACATAGCTCCTAGGGCCTTCTCAAGTACCCATGGGGGTATGTATACCCCCAGTTAACAACCCCTGAGTTAGAGCATACACTAATACTTTGGTTTGACAAATATTTTAAAAATAGCTTACAAAAAGTGACCATTATAAAGTCTCAGACTGGAACAACATCTTGCATGTATTTACAAAATCAAGTTCTCAGATTTACAACATATACCTTACAACATGTATACAACTCCTAGTGTGCCTTTCTTTGAGAAATTCAGTCAAATTCACCCTAGCTTGACAGACTATTGAGAAAGGTACCATTCCCTTTTAGCTACATGACGGGAACTAATTTGGGATACTCAATATTATGCTGTCTTTACCTAGTACAAATATGAATATGATGTATTTTTGTTCAGAAGTTCTCCTTTCCCTATCCAGAACCCTCAGCAGTATATCAGTACCAAGAAGGAAGGAAGCAAAAAAGCTGTCACAAATGGTAGGTATATATTCCAGGATGCCTCCCCCACCATTTTGGCTTTATTGTGTGTTCTGAAATTATGAATCACCTTCAGCAGCCCCCATGGTTTGTTTGTTTTTTCTCTCTCTCTCTCTTTCAGCTCCTCAGCCTGAATGAAGAAGGTAGAAAAATATAAGAAGAAAGAAGATGCAGCAGTAATAAGAATTAAAGAAGTAAAAAAGGCCTGTTCTATTGTGGATCCTTGTAATTTCTTGATTTACGACATGTTCCTTGAAACTCACCATTCTGCAACGTAATTCTTCCCTTCAGAAGAACAGAAAGGGCCTCCTAAAGGCCAATTTGGATACATTCCCTTGAACTGACAGACAAGAAGTAGCTTCATTTTCTTCTGCTACTTGAGATCCTGAATGGTAGAAACACCCAGCTTAAAATACTGCAGTTCTCTGAGACCTTCAGGGGTGAAGCTTTTTAGCAAATTTTGCATTTCAGGCAGGTACCTGCAGTAATTGCTACCTCTCTACTAATAATCCAGCCACAAGAATGAGAAGTGAAAAGCAGGACATGTTCTGCAGCTGGCATCAAAGGATACAAAAAACATTCTGACCAATATCATTTAACAAAGATCATTCAGCATTGTGTTGCATAAATTAATCATGTATTATAATTCATTTTGGAAGGTCTTTAAATTGGCACCTTTGGGCTGCTGACAGATGTGGGGGGAAAAAACAGCCCTTACGGGAAGAGGAACTGCATTAGTTTGACCCAGCTTCCCAGCATCTCTATAGATTGCGTGCTTCAGTGGGGCTTCTTGGCACTTTCATCTAAGAGCTGATTTCAGATAAAAGTGCCAAGAAGCCCCGCTGAAGCACGCAATCTATACAGATGCTGGGCAATCTGGGTCAAACTAATGCAGTTCCTCTTCTGGGCATGCGCTGTGCTCAGTGTGGGGGCATGCTGAACTGAAAATAAAGCTCCATTTTGGGTTTTTTGTTTCTTTTTTCCCATGTCTGTCAGTGGCCTTAGTAGCTAGGTGTCAGTGAGTTCTGTGACCCATTATGCCATCTATCCTGTAGATTGAGAGACTTGGGAACTCACCTGTATATGTTTTTCAGATCTCTGAAACACCAGTTTCCAGCATTCTGATTCTGTCTCAGTGAATTCAGGGTTATTTTGTATGGGTGCTAATAGGTCATACAGCTAAACTAGAAGGAAAAATGTCTTAGTATCAGTTAAAGTAGCTATTTTGTGTGTGTTAACCTCAGTCAGGAGGATTGGAGGAGTAAGGTTTGTTTTTTTTCTCTTTTGGTTTTGAATTTAACCCCCTAATTAACTCAGAAGTACATGTTAACAAATCTACTGTGTCTATTTTTTCCTAACCTAGGTTTGGTGCAGGCAAGTTGATTCCATTCACAGAATGCTACATTTGTACATGAAACAACAACAAGTGTTTTGGTTCAATTATTTTTTTTAGATAGAACATGCTGTTGGTTTTTTTCACTGAATGAATACATTCATTGTATTCATTATACAATACATGAATACATGTATTGTATAATATATACAATACATTATATTGTATATATTATTTTAATATTTGATTATTATTATGTTTATCCATCCCAAGGCTACTGCTTGAAAAGACATTTCAAATAGACCTCAAAAAGGATGGGCACATAACTAAGCAAAACCTATCATTTTGTTTCTGTTGTTTCTGTGCATACTGTGTTCTAATGATAAGAGTACTGTTCTGAAATTTCATAAACTCTGGTCTCAGTGCTTCTTGGTAACTGGGGTAATGAATCAAGATTAAGGACAACAGATGCAACCAACTGAAACTTATACTTTATCTTATCTTCTGGCAGACCTTGGTTTTGCAGTGGTATAAAGAATCTAAAATGAAATCCTGGCCCTAATGAAGTCAGTGGAAATTTTACCATTGGCTTCTTGAAACCAGGATTTCAGTATCAATTTCATTATTGAGAGACACATCTTAGTGAACAGAGCATGAGTTAGAGACCCAGGTGACAGGTGCTGCTTTGTGACTGGGTGAGTAATTAAAGCTCTCTGAGCTTCAATTTCCCATTTTGTACAGGGTAGATAATGCCACTTACCTTCCTTAATGCATTTTGATTTCTGTGAGTAAAAGAATCTGTGAATAGTAATAGTTCTTACACAAAGTATAAATGACTTTTTTTTTTTTTTTTAGTTTGTGGATTAAAAGTAGTTGTTGGTTTCTTTTAAGTCCCTTACCCAGTTGGCCAAATGGTACAGGTGAAAAATTGTACCACCATGCTGCTGAAAGAGTTATTTTGTTGGTCAGTAAACATACTCTCAGAGCAACTGGAAGACACAGTCAGTGAAACCCAATGCCCCCAATGATTTTACTTCCTTTCATTAACTTCATCACATTAAAATTCACTAGGGCATAAACTTGACATTACAAAAATGATCCAAAATTCTGTGTATTTGTGTGAAATAATGTTGGAGTGATACATGCCTGTTTTTCAACTTCTAGACCTTGTCAACTTCACCTGTGTTACATAGAACTTTATACTTGATGTAGAATTAAGGGCAGCAGTGTTTTTTTACTTATCATCCATCTTCCCCTTCCCAAAAACATTTTGCAGTTCATTTTTCTAGTTCTTGAAATTTAAGTATAATTATTTCTAGGCATATAAAGGCCATAGTTAAATTCATAAAATATTCTTTTTGGAGTATGACTATATATGAACATAATGTTTCAGTTGAATTATAAAAAGCTATTTATGTGTACCATCCAGAATATATTAATATATAGGAAAGTGTACATGTGTGGAAATCTCTGAAAGTATATGTATTTATGCCCATAAGAAGAAAATGACAGTGTGTTCAATTCATGCTAAAATGTCTGATTAAATGCATGGAAGCATGGAAATTCAAAATTGAGTTATACCAGACTTGACATTGGCCTTAAAGCATTGTAGTATCCTTGAACTTCACTTTGCAAAAATGTGAGGGTTAGGAAGAGCTAGACCCGGGAATGGCCTAAATTAAAAACAAATCGTTTTCAGTTAATTTTCAGTGCTACTTGTAATCCTTGTGTCATGACAGAAAAAATTCCTGGCCCCTCATAATAGCATCTTATTTAGAATGTATATTTTCCTCTTGGCAACAGCAAGCAGCTGGGCTGCTGAGAAACAAGAGTGGCTCCATAACAGAAGGAGCATATGATAAAACTGTCCCCCTCTCTCAAAAGAACAGTAATAAGGTGATGGAAAAGACAATATATGAAATGAGGCCTGTCCCTAAAATACTTTGACGTACATGCAGCAGGTAGGGTGATGAAGGGCAAGAGAAAAAGAACAGACCCCATGATAAAAGAGAATGAAGTTTTAGAGAAGCTCCCTAGAAGAGCACAGTAGCAGCAGCCAGTTTCATTGTAAATGGAAGTTGTTTGTCCTCCCAGTTTTGCTTTAAGACTGCCTTTAAAATTTTCTCTGTCAACACCTAGGCTAGGGACAGAAGTTGCACACAAACTGGTATAAGTGATTGGAAACCAATTTAAACCTGTAACAGAAAAGAAGTTCAATACACATAAATCAGTTTCAAAATGGCTAGGCCCAATTTAAGATAAACCCAGATGGATGTAGTATCAGACTTAACTGATTTAGGTTAAACTGGTCTATGGAACTTCTGTCCCAGATACCCTCCCAAGTCAAGCTATGTCCCAGTCCCCTGGTATTCAAGGATGCATAGGAACCCCCTCTAATCTCCCTTGCAGGGCTAGCCTTGGCAGTGCTGCCTACTTTGGCTGAGCTGGGGCCAGCCCTGCCCCACAACTGTCACAGAGCTGAGGCAGAAATGCCTTAGGTTCCCAGCCTGGTCTTGCCTGTTCTTTCAGCTGACCTGACCTGTTGTCTCAGGACATCTGCTGCTTGCCCCGAGCCTGGATCTGAGCTGTCATGGAGGGACTACTGAGGCTCATCCGGCCCCCTGACTACTACTCCATGTTCCTTATCCATGTGGGACATGATACTGCCAGGGGAGACTTTGAGCATATCAAGAGTGACTACAGAGCTCTGGGTGCAAGCGTGATGGGGTTTGGGGCTCAGGTTGTGTTCTCGTTGATCCTTCCAGTCAAGGGAAAGGGTCTGGGCAGGAGCAGGTGCATCCTGCAGATGAACACCTGGCTGCACAGGTGGTTTCACCAGCAGGGCTTTGGCTTGGCTTCTTCAATCATGAAATTTTCTTCTAAGAAGAAGGATTGCTGGGAAGAGATGGGATCCACAGGGAAGAGCATCTTCGAAGACAGGCTTGCTAACCTAGTGAGGCAGGCTTTAAATTAGGTTTGCCAGGGGATGGAGACCAAGGCCCAAGGTAAGTGGGGAAATGGTAGACCTGGAGGAAGAGCAAGCAGGAGGGGGCAACAAGGGAGGTGCTCATACTTTCTGAGAAAGCAGGGCAATAGACTAGTGACCTTAGGTGCTATATACACATGCACAGAGCCTGGGAAACAAGCAGGAAGAATCGGAAGTCCTTGCACAATCATGAAACTGATATGATTGGCATAGCAGAGACTTGGTGGGATAGCTTGCATGACTGGAGCACTGTCATGGATGGGTAGAAACTGTTCAGGAAGGGCAGGGAGGAGAGAAGAGGAGGAGTTGCACTTTATGTAAAAGAGCCATATGATTGCTTAGAGCTGGAGTATGAAGCTGGAGATAGACTCAACAGGTCTGGGTTAGGGTCAGAGGGAGGAGCATCAAGGGTGATGTCATGGTGGAGGTCTTCTATAGACCACCATACCAGGAGGAAATGGTGGATGAGGCTTTCTTCAAACAGCTAGCAAAGTTTCCCGATCATAGGCCCTGGTTCTCATGGGGGACTTCAATCACCCTGACATCTGCTGGGAGGGCAGTACAGCAGTGCGCAGGCAATCCAGGAAGTTTTTGTAGAGTGTTGGGGACAACTTCCTGGTGCAAGTAATGGAGCAACCAACTAGAGGCCATGCTCTTCTTGACCTGCTGCTCACAATCAGGGAAGAATTGGTAGGGGATGTAGTAGTGGATGACAACATAGGCAGCTGTGACCATGAGATGATAGAGTTCAGGATCCT